GTGACCTTCAAGGTCCCTTCCAACCCTATATTCCATGCTTCTGTGACCTTCAAGGTCCCTTCCGACCCTACTTTCCATCCTTCTGTGACGAACAAGTTACATTCCAACCCCATGTTCCATGGTTCTGTGACCTTCAATGTCCCTTCCAACCCTACATTCCATGGTTTTGTGACCTTCACATTCCCTTCCAACCCTACATTCCATGCTTCTATGACCTACAAGGCCCATTCTACCCTGCAATCCATGGTTCTGTGACTTTCAAGGTCCATTCCAACCCTACCATCCATCGTTCTATTACCTTCAAGTTCCCTTCCAACCCTACATTCCATGGTTCTGCGACCTTCAACGTCCATTCCAACCCTACATTCCATGGTTCTGTGTCCTACAAGGTCCCTTCCAAGCCTGCATTCCATTGTTCTGTGACCTTCAAGGTCCCTTCCAACCGTACATTCCAAGCTTCTGTGACCTTCAATGTCCCTTCCAACCCTACATTCCATGGTTCTGTGACCTTCAAGGTCCCTTACTACTCTACATTCCATGCTTCTGTGACCTTCAATCTCACTTCCAACCCTACATTCCATGGTTCTGTGACCTTTAAATTACATTCCAACCCTACATTCCATGCATCTGTGACATTCAAGGTCCATTCCAACCCTACATTCCATGATTCTGTGACCTTAAAGGTCCCTTCCAATCCTATATTCCATGCTTCTGTTACTTTCAATGTCCCTTCTATCCCTACATTGTTTGCTTCTGTGACCTTCCAGGTCCCTTCCACCCCTACATTTACATGCTTCTTTAACCATCAATGTCCCTTCCAACTTTACTTTCCATGGTTCTGTCGCCTATAAGTTTCATTCCAACCCTACATTCCATGGTTCTGTGACCTTCCATGTCCCTTCCAACCCTACATTTCATGGGAATTTAGAAAATCTAGAATGCAGCTTTGTGGTACTCAGGACTCTGTAGTATCTTTCTTGCATTTTCTGAGGAGAAATCCAGACTTATTTCTTACACCAGAGCACCTGTTTCATCTCCAACAGCCAACTTTCTGCTGATCAGCCTTGCAAAGCTCAGAGAACACTTCTTAGTGAGTCGAGGGCTCTCTGTTAGGGTTGCACTTTTGTTCCTTCTCCAGGGCTGCTGCGATTCACCCACCGCTCTGCTGCCGGCTGCTGCCGTACTATTGGGGTCGTTTCATCTATTAAAGGTTACATGTATTTCTGAACCTTTTTGTGCTCTGTTTTCTTTCAATATTTGTACAGCAGCTCTTCAGGAGCTCGGCCTATAGGAAATTATACTAATTTTTTCTTCTGCAGAAAAATGGATCTCTTGACATTCTGTCTCTTTCACCAGCCCTGTGCAAACATCCAGACGCGAGTGCTACCTATAGAAAAGTATTTGAATTGTGGCTCTTTGTGTTCAAAGAGTTTGGGCCCTGCCAAAGAGCTCACAGCTCGTCCCTGAGCTGAGCAATGCTGGCTAACAGCGAAGCTCCATTTGCAGTCCCCTGGGGTAAACGCGGTTCCTTTGAGCCTTTGTGCTTTGGAAGCAACTTGGGCCCACGTTGGTGCTGAGCACAGTGCCTGCTGCTTCCAAGCACACGTGGCTTCTGCCCTGTCTGCCCTCTGCCGTGTGTCTGCCTCTAGCTGGCAAGGATGTTGTCATAGGGCCAGTCTCTGCATGGTTTCATTTCCACATGGGTGACATAACATCTTCAGCCTGCTGTGCCGCCTGATGTTGGGGCAGCTCATGTGGTGGCAGCTCTGTGGATGTGTTTCAGGGAATTCTTTCTTTGTGACAATCCTTTTAGTTCTTGGTGTAAGGGAGGAGGAGAGGGATGGATTGACAGTCTGCACGTCCTGCTTTCAGCAGCCTCCTTCTCATTCCTCCCAAGAACATGAAAAAAATAAAATCAGAAATAATTGATGAATGTTCAGATGTTTTCAATGCCTGAAACCGCCCAAGAGCAAAGAAGGAGGCAGTAAACATGTTTTCAAGAAGTCACAGTAAAGATTTCACCCTTACTGAGTGACAGTCCTTTGGTCAGCCTGAGATGCACGCATGGGTTTCAGCGATGAGGCAGGGAGAGCACTGAGCTGAAAAGAATGGTCAGCAAGCCGTTAGCAATAAGGGTTGATGTTTCTGCATTGCTGAGGCCGAGTGCACACGATGTTCCCCAGGTGGGGGATGTGATGGCCTTCTCTATTTCTCCTTCTTTGGATGTAGTGCTCAGGGACACGATGTCCCGTAACAACTCCAAGTGGAGGGTTGTTAGAGCTGGGGTAGGATGGTGAAGGTTGTGGTTGGACGCAGTGATCCTTCAAGTCTCTTCCAACCTGAGCAATTCTGTGATTCTATTCTTGTTGTCACGTCCAGGAATAGTTGTAACTCTTCTGTGCTCCTTTCTCCCTGCTGAAGCTTTTACCTGGGAAGATCAGCAGCATTTCGGGCTGATCATGGCACCTGTTTGCTTTGCTTTTTGTTTCAAGAACTGAAGCCTAAAGCACCGTCCAACAAAACAAAAGATGAAATCAAACCTGCAACGGCGCTCAGAGCCTCGATCAGAGACGATCTGATCGGTGGCAGCTGAGTTCAGCGGAGACGAATTCAGCCTCTGGCCACAGCACGCTGCTGCCTTGGCTTTTATGAGCGTTTGGAAGTGCTTGACATTACAGGACGGGAACACAGCACGTGTGGGCAGCATCTCAGCCAGGCAAACCATGCGAGGCTGCGTGGAGCTGCGTGATGTAGAGCCCTGCTGCGCACACCAGGAGCTCTGCTCGCTCTGCCCGCAGCGACAGTGCGTAAATGCAATGATGGAGGGGTGTTTTGAGGAAGCAGCTCCTGCAGTTGTGGCCTGATGGCAGCCATCAAGAGCTGCTCTGCATTTTAACTGGGAAGGCAGCAGTCACTTAGAGCAGAAATATTGCGGTGCTCGGAGGGCACTGCTCGCAGGGCAGCTCTGCTGTCTGATGACAGTCTGTGCGTACAGAACGGGAGAACTGGGGAACACAAACAAGCGGGACGGAGGATTCTGCCACATCACGTTAGGGGACCCATCTGTGAGGGATACAAGGTTTGGATTGTTTTGTGGATGGTCGCATCGCTGCGCTGAATGCACTCTTTTCCCTTCAAGCCATAAACTCTGGTGTTGGAGCAGAGAGCCGCAGTGCCTCCTCCGACTTCCAGCCGGAGCCGGGTGCCTGCTCTCCCAGCAGCAGAAGAACAGGGAGGTGCTTTGGGACGGCCCTGCACTGCCCTGCCTGGTGCTGAGCTGGCAGACCAGCGTGCAGCCTGCAGTGTTGGTCAGATAGCATTAACGAAGCAGTTCAGTACTGTCACCAAGGTTCTCTTCCAACGAGAGGAGGGACCTACGTGCTGCTCTTGCTGCCCTGTGCTCTGATTTCTCTTCTTGCTGTGTTACCCAACCGGCGTCCTCCTGGGAGCCCAGGCGGATAACCTTTCTGCGATAAGCTGATATTCAAACACAAGGACTTCACTCCTGAACTGCCCCAATATTTGAGAAAGGGTTTTACAGTGAAATAGGTTGTTTTTTTTTCCTGCGTCTCGTTATTGGCCTGGCAGCTGCGCCGCGTATGGCCGGCGTGCTGAGAAAGGTAATGCCAACAGAACGAAAAGGTCGCAGTTATATAAAAATCCTTTCAAAACTAAACAGCCCCAGCACACTGAATTCCCCGTGGATGTTCAGTAGTTGAGAACCGAGAGAGTCAGGATGTTTGGGAGGTTGAATTCTGCATCTGCAAATGTCCGGTGGAAGCCAGGAGCAGTCGGCAGCTGTGCTCAGCCCACGCTGCCCCAGTCCATGGAAGAAGCAGGAGCCCCATGGAGCTCAATGTGCAAGAAAAACATACAGCATGGACCAGAAAGAGACCACAGAGCCTGCCCAAAGCAGAGCAAAGGTTGGTCTTACTTGTGCTGCACCTCTGAGAAAGGCAAAACCACCGGACGACCAGAGAGGCTTTGAGGTCAGGGACTCCCGAAGGCAGAGAAGCTGTCTTTGCGTTTGAGGGGTCCACTAATTTTGCTCTAATTATTTTTTGATTCATATTAACGTTCAGCATCTGCAGCATCCTGCTGCAGAGTCCCTTGTACGAGATGGAGAAGCACCTTGGAACCCTTTGCCCTCCTTTCTCATGAAAGGAGCAGGCATCCCTGTTACAGAATCACAGAATCACAGAATCACCGAGGTTGGAAAAGACCTTCAAGATCACCCAGTCCAACCATCCACCCATCACCAATAGTTCTCACTAAACCATATCCCTCAACACAAAATCCAAATGTTCCTTGAATGCCTCCAAGGTCAGTGACTCCACCAGCTCCCTGGGCAGCCCATTCCACTGCCTGACCACTCTTTCAGAACAGAAGTATTCCTAACGTCCAGCCTAAATCTCCCCTTCCATGCTCCCTCCCACCTTTCACCCTCTGAAATCATCCCTCACCCCTGAAAGCCCTTGTTATCACCCTACATTCCACACACTCCTTCGTCATCACGGATTTACTGACCTTTGCTGTGGCTACCTTGCCCAACCCTTGCCCCATCCAATGTCCCCATGCCAAATCCATCTGCTGCCCACCCAGCCTTGCGTCTGCCCAGCTCTGCTCTGCCTGCTGGGCTCCGTGAGGCATTTCCTGTGCAGGCACTCGTGGATGTTTTCAGGGGCACAGTTATGCTTTCCATACGTTTCTGCGTTCCTGTCCTACTGACCTGTTAGCATTAATGGCAACTGAGTGAAAACTTCACAGCACCTGGGGAAGTGGTTTGGTGGTTCACGTTTGGTGGACGGTTGGACTCAGCGGTCTTCATGAACCTGAATGATTCTGTCACCTTCCAAAGTTCTGTTCATTTTCTGTGCTCACTGCCCTGTGCAACTCCATCTCATCGGCATCCCTGGCACCCGCAGCTACGGCTCGCAGCATTCCCTGCAGACGTGGGAGCGGGAGGAGGTGAAATAAACCCAAAGTGTTTGTAACGGCTGTGAAAACTTAATTTTTATTATCTGTTCACTGTATACAAAACACCATTCTGCATAGTGATAACTCATTTGTTGTACAGTTGACAGTGCACATCAACAAACAAGTGTTGGAGGTATACACTCAATGAGGAGGGCAGTGGTGGCCGGGGCGATGCTGGGAGGGAGGAGCAGCTCACAACCACTCGTGTACGAGCAATAGGAATGCGACAGGAAGCATCTACCAACCAACCAATTCAGTATGAATGAGGACGAAGAGACGAAGCAAGAGTTCGTGGATCCAATGCACAACTCTGCAATCAAGGAAGGGTTGCGGAGGCGGCTGAGAAGGGTCTGTATTTTTTTTCCAAACACTTCCATCGTTAAAGTTGCTAAAATTTAATGATAAATAACAGAATCTCACAAATATTTCGGGGCAAAATGCTCCGCATTTATTTACATACGAAATGTGTTTAGTACAGTCGTAATGGACGTAGTGTATAGTAACATCTGACAGCAGCAAGACTTTTAAGGAACTGAACAATTACTACCATATATCATGCAGCTATCTATATGTACAGGATTTGTTTCTTTTTTTCTTTAAAAAGAAAGAAAGAAAGAAAGAAAAAAGTACAAAAAAAAAAAAGTTTTCTAGGGGATACATACGAGGTATAAAATGCAAAAAGAAAACAGAAATATAAACCTCACAGAGAATCACGTAGGGAAGGGACAACGCGGTGCCTCTGTGCACCTGGTGAAGGCTCACCAGTGATGCTGGATGCATGTGAAGCTCCGTGAGGCCCGTGCTGAAGGTGAAGTGCCAGTCGTACCCACAGGGGCTGGTTGTGGTGCATTTGCTCCTCGACGGCTGCGGTGGAACACGGAGCCCCGGAACATTTGGCATTAGCAAACAGAGCTGGGAAATGCCAACCCCGGCAACAAGGGTTTTCATAACCGGAGATAGAAGGAAAATACTGAATGCTGTGTCATTGTTTCTATTCTGTTTAATAAATTACGTGACAAGGAAAAAAAAAAAACAAACCTCCAAACATTATCATGATAAACCTATGCCTCTAATTACACCTTACTTGTTTAATCCAGAGCAGCCCAGCCCTTTTATAACTATCAGAGCTTCGACCACAAGCACCTGATGGCTACAAATTACTTCATGATACATATATATATATATATATATATACTTGTGCAATTACACTTGTCAGAAGTACGTGATCGCCCTGGGGTGTCTGCACCTCAACCAGCACTGCGTTTTACCTGCGCAGAGAGACACTTATTTTCGGAGAGAAAGTCTGAAAGCTGCCTGCCACGTGCAGAACCATCCAGAGTCCTGCAGGATGTGGCATATCCCCTTGGCTTCCTTACTTTTTCCCTCCAGGCACTGCCTTTCTGCTGTGCTCCCATTTGCTGAAACTTCCTGCCAGAAGCGTTCACGTAAGAAACGGTTCAAGAGACCCCAGGAAACGGACCCAGCATTAAGAACTCTGTTTTAGAGAAACTTACTACAAAAAACAGGAACGAAACAAAAATTTCCACTAGATACCAATACAAACACGTAACAAAGAGTATAAAAGTTATTAGTTTAAATATATACAAACTCTTTTCAACTCAAATACTGCTTCAATGGTTTCGAGGGTACAGACGATGAGGCGAAGGGGGCATCGTTATGCAGAACATATTGCAACAGCCTGAACAGTACTGTTAACACTATTATACCTTGAACCTCCTGTAACAAAAATGCCATCGGCGTTCCAATGTGGAGAGAGATTGCCACGTCCCAGTGCTCACTTTTCAGCCGAGCTCATCCTTTTCGACTTGATGAAGGCCATGCCGTGCGTTCTCATGTGAGTGTTTAAGGCCGCTTCAGTTTCGAATGTCTTTGCGCACACTTTGCACCTCCTGTCCGACGCCGCACTGTTGGTCGGCTCGTCCTCGTGGTTGGGTTTGTTCTCCTGCTGATTATCCTCCCCAGACCCGTTCTGCTTCGATACCGGCTGCGGCTCCTTCAGCTTGTGCACGATGAAGAGGTGCCTGGAGAGAGACACGTGGGACGTGTAGCAGAGCCCACACTCCCTGCATTGGTACGAGGAGCCGTCGGATTTATGCTGAGGAATATGTTCGTGAAACTGGAGGAGATTTTCTGTCGTGAAGCCGCAGACAGCACACTTGTGAACCTTAAAAACATTGATTTTTAGCTTCTTCAGTGGCTGCGTGATGGCGCCTCGTGGAGGCCTGAATTCCAGGACGGGTTCTTCCAATTTACGCTTTGGACTAGGAACCTAAAAAAGAAGTGGTAAATACTATTTTTGTAAGCGTGAATACGCAGTGACTGCAGTGGTTCGTCAAACAAGCTCGAGGCTGGGCACTTGGGATAAGCTCACCGTGCTTCTGTGCAACCTGCAGCTTCTCTACAGCTATGAGAGGACTTACAGCAGTGAAAAGCAGAATTTCACGGGATCAAAATATCCCTTTAAAGATCCTGAATGCATCCCCACAAAACCTCAGTGACTGAACGAATCTTCTACGTGATTACCTTCGCTTCTTCTTTTACTTCCCTTTCTTCCACGTTAGATGACTCAGTCATTTCTTTGACATCAGGGTCTTTGATGCCGTGCATCAACTGAATGTGTTTTTCCAGCATCAGCCGTTTGGTAAAGGTACGTCTGGAGTCTGGGCAGTGCCTGTATGAACACAGAGCAGGCATGCAGAGGTGCAAATGTTGTGCTCAGAAAGCCATGTACTACTCTGAACGAATGTGAGCTTATAAATAAGCACAGACAAGTCCAACCTACCAACCTTAATACCGGAGACAGCACTCTTCCAATCAATTGCACAAGAATTGTCAGAACGGGAGAACAATTAAAAACAAAACCACAAACGTTTGAGCAGCTTGTATTCACAGTAAATGGGAGAAAAGTTCTCTGAATACCCAAAACAGGAGCACTGGGACCCACAACAAAGCGTGGCTTAAAAAAAAAAGCCAGGAGCACATGAGTTTGTTTCTTGTACCTCTATTGATGTAACTAAACTGTACGCTCAATTGAACACTCTGTCAAGTTCTCCCTAACTAAATTTGAGCAAGAAAACAATCACTTTCCATGAAGGATGAATGCTAGCTCCAAAGGAGTCTTAATTCTGCACTCAAGTCCATATTCTTTATCTTCTTGGAGCCAGCCCATGAGACTGAGGTTAGGGTGAGTTAGGCTAACCTCAGTGCCTGAAGAAAAATTCAACTCACAGTGTGTACTGTTGGTTTATACTCTGCCCCTAGCATCTCTGAAAAACAAAACAGCAGTACTTACGAGCACGTATAGACCTTCCTAATGCCTTTGTGCTTGATACGGTTGTGACGACACAAACTATGGGATGAACTGAATGATTTGTCACACTGGCGACAAGGGTGTTTCTTCATTTGCTTTAAAAGAAGAAAAACACATTAATTAAAAAAAAGAAAAAAAAAGCTAGGTGAAAGTCATCTGTGTGCCAAAACCTTTAATCATAGGAAAGAAACGTACTTACCAGTGTCTGACACTTCTGTCAAGCAAACTACATCTCTTTCAAAGCAATGTGGCCAGCACACACTGCCAAAGACTGCAAACAGAAACCATATATAGTGGGTGAAGTGAAGGTCTTCCATCAAAGAGGTGCAGGAGGTCAGGGGGCAATTTCTGGATTAGGTAAAGGCAGAATGAGCAGAGATTGCTTTCACAGTGAAGTCACCCTTCCTTTCCCGCTGCCTGAAAACTTCTGAGGCTGCTGACCAAGAGGGTTTCTGTCACCCACAAGAAGAGGGGTGATAAGGACCAAAGCAAAGCATCGTGAATACTGATGTGCCAACAAGGCTCAGAAAAGTCACAAAAGAAATGCGAGGTGCAGCCTGATGCCAACCTGAGGAACACGAGTGTGGGGGATTCTGCGTGTTTTATATCGCTGTTTGTTAGGTGGAAGGAGAGAGGAAAGGAAGGAAGGTAGAAAGGACGGAGCAGTCTCCATCTATGCCATTCCAGCTGAACACAAGTCACCAGAGCTCTGGTATCTGAAGGAATAATGTCTCCAAACTGTGAACTACAGAAGCTCCAAGAGCACACGACACAGACCTATTATCCTTTAGGTCTCATTAGCACATCACAATCTTAGAACTCAATCCTGTTCCTGACTGGCCTGTCTTATCAGCAGCTGCAGCAAAGAAACTGAAATATTCCTTAATCAAATGTCCTGCCTTCTACAATTAAATAGATTTTTCAAGCTCCTATCTGTTATTTTCTACCGTTCTGGTAGTAATGAAGAAATCAACAGAACATCTTGAAAGTTAAAACCAAACAGTGACCAAACAGATCTCATTTAAGACTTCCTCAGATTGCTTTCCAACAATCCAGCTGGGGCCAGAGCCCAGCGCTCAGCATTCTGTACAGCCGCTCCTGCCAGAGTCAGGGTGTGCAGAGTCTGAAGAAGAAATGGACTCCATTGGAATCTCCTGTAAGAAATTCTGGTCACTTGCACCCAGACTGCAAGCAGTGTATAGTGAGAAACAGCTCTGCCTGCTGCCCAGGTAGAACTGCAGGAACAGACAGCCTCATGCAATCAGTCCAGTTATCTAGAAGAAAAAAAACAACCCATGTTTCCAGATTGCCTTTTCCTGCCCTGGCAGAGATCAGAGCTCTCCTTCAAACTGAAAAAGGCAAATAATGTAACGCCACTCTGCCATGCCAGCCGAAGCCACTGAACAAATGATTTGGATCAACGCTTGGAATTGGACCCTGCTTGACTCTCCTAGAGAATCCGTGCAAGATTCATCCCTCACTCCCAAGCATTCAGTACCAAAGGTTTTCGTTGCAGAAGAATGTTAAAGGTTTGGCTTATTTATTCCCAGCTTCTGAGGAAACAGAATTCTACAGATTCCTACACAGCGGAGAAAGGCCACAATTCACATGAACATTCTAATGGGATACAAGTCATTCTCTGGTGCCTAATCTAAACTAATAATACAAAAATACAATTCTCAATCCTAAATAATTTATGGCTCAAATCACATTGAAATGCTGAGATAAGAGATAATAATGAGAGATAATGAGAGATAATGAGAGATAAATGGAGATCAGAGACCTTTCTGCTATTAAGGCCAAAATCACAGGGAATGTGGGGGAAGGAAAGAAGAGGATTTCTGAAAGGTCACTGATGCAAATGGGAGGAATCCCATTAGGAAGCAAGGTTTGGTTATCCTACTAGGGACAGTCCTCTACATAATGCCCTTAGAGGCACGATGTTCCTCAAAACAGCTCGTTTTCTTTTTGTGTTTAAACGCCAATTAAAAAAATCAACATGTTTTTCTCTGAAAGTACATACACACCGTGCACAGTCATTAACACCAATGCATTGATCAGCACGCTTTGCAACACGGTTTTGCAGTGTGCTTACGACTGCAGTGCTCTGGGATGGAGTTGTAAAAGCCTAAAACAAAATGTGAAAGCGCATGATGAAGGAGAGGCAACATCACAACAGTAATTATTGTGCTTTAAGATGGACAGGCTGCTTCCTCAGGTAAGCCAGACCAAACCTATTGCTGAGGAACAGCCATGGGATAAAGGCAGGGCAATATGGGGAATCATCATGTGGTGTGTGCAGGAAAAGCAAATGCTGTGACTGGGATAGCAACTAGAATTTTGGGGGGTTTTTTATTCACAAACACATGACTTGCAGTCCTGCTAATATGCAGGATATATTTTTCTTCCGTTTTCTCTTAACCAAAAATCTGAATGCTACATGTGTGGGTTGCTTTATATACGGGTGTTACACCACTGTCTCATGAAATTCCTTCGGACGGTGAACAACCACCACAGCTTCTTTTTTTTCTTTTTTAAGTGACAGCATCCCACTTAAAAACTGCAGAGATGAGCACAGATAAACAGCTCAACAACGTAGCAATCAGCCATACTGATTTTGGGTATAGCTAAAAAGTGTTTTGTATTTTAAACAGAACAGGTGAAATAAACCAGACGTCAGGTGGACAGCAAGGCCAACAGAGCTGGTGGTGCTGCAGCAACTGCTCAAGCTCTGACAGGCATGCTGGTAGAGCTCTGAAACACTGTCTAGCACAAAGCACAAGGCAGGTCATCAGGCTGCTCCCATTCAGCACTCCAGGAAGCAAACTGGTTAATTTAAATGAACCCGGACTCTTGCTAATATGCTAGCATAAAGCAGCGGAAGAGACTAGATATGCCATCAGCTTCCACTGGAATTCAGTGGAACCGAGCTGCAGCTGCATTAACTTAGAAAAAGCTGTCCATACAGAAACCTGAGCAGTGATCTTTAGGATGCAGCTTTCCCCATGGGACAATTATGCTGTGGTTAGGTGCTGCAGGAGCTGTTGCACAGCATCTTGTCCTTAGCTGCAGGAACAAGAGGATGTTAAGTTAGTTGCACTGCCACTTGGAATTGGGAAAGCAATTCCTGCTTACAAAACATCTGTCCTTTCTTGGAAGGGCACTGCTGGAGAAGTCCTAGGAAGCTACGTGCACTGGGCTGAGATACACCAGATTCAGCTTCAAGGCAGGAGCACAGCTGTGTGAGTGCCACCCTTTGTCCAGGATAATCACTTTTCTTTTTCAGAAACAGCATTTAGGAAGAATCACACCATGGTGGCTACAAACCTTCCAGTATCTGGCTAGCCTTCGGCCAGCTCAGGGAAAGGAGACAGAAAATGTGCATGTGTATACCTGCCACTGCTTCCCAACACTGCCAGCAACCTGCCCAAAGAGGACATGTGTGGCTGTAACTCTCCTAGGTCTGAGCAATTTAGCCTGAGATCAGCTAAAAGGGGGTTACAGCTCCACATCTTCACTGCAAACTGCAGCAGCAGCAACCAAGAGTTTGAAACAAATTACCTTCAAGTACCTTACATGTCAAGGCGTTCTGCAATAGCTCACAAACTGCTTAATTAAAGTTTCCAGTGCACATTCTGCACAGGTAATTCTAGAGCAAATAATACTTACCTAGCATTTCCAAGAAAAGTGGACTACGAATTAATGCCATGATTTACCAGACCTACTTCACATGTGCCCTCATCTTATGCTCATTTCTAGTCTCTAAAATAAAACGCATCTGTAACAAATTACGTTTTGAATGCAATCATTTAAAAGCTAAAATCAATGACAGTTTCAAGAGGTCTGGAAGAAGAGTGGCATCTGCTCCTTTATCACCCATCTCTGCAAGTGGTATCTATTCACTTTAATCTACATCTGCCTCCCATTTACCAAGGAGACATTTAATAGGGATAAAATACAAGTAAACAAATATAAGCAATGAATTGGCCCCCCTGGCCAGTGTTTGAGTGCTGTAATTGTCTGGTATTTCATAATAAGGGCTGTTCCTGAGGTTACATGCACATTCTCAATGAACACAAGAGGGAGGAAGATATATATTTGAAGTTATTACCAGAAAGCATTATCAGCGTGGTACTAACCTTATCTTACATGCCTTCTGCCACTTGGATGTGGGTTTCATTACACTGAATGTGATTTTCCAGCTTGTTCTCATGGGGAACGGGTAGTCTGCATCACTGTGCTTTGGTTTCAAGAACTGCATCAGTGTAAAATCTAGGTGTACCTGGTCCTGCAGATATTTGTTTGCCAGTAAAAGCATCGATGAGTCAATATTTGTACTAACTGGAAAAACAGGATTGATCAGTATTTTACATGCTCCTAGAGGCCCGATTTTAAGAGAAAACTGAGCTGTGACTGTACGAGCACTGGGGGATCAGAAATAAGTCATTCACTCACTGTCACGCTGCAGGGACAGCAACACACTGCATGCAGTTTCTTTACAAGCACTTCACAGCACAAGTGTCACCAACAGACCTGCTGGGCCCGAAACCGAAGCAATTCACACTAATTCCTCCATGACTTCAGTAGATGGAAATGCAAAATTGGGCTTCTAAACATGAGGAGAAACCAAACAGAGCTGTCTGACCTTCACGCCCTCAGGCTGCAAAGGAGAACCAGGTGAAAGAAGATGCAGTTCTGTGAATCAGGGTCATGCTGCCCCAGGCTGCTCCATCACACCAGGCTGATGCTGCCCTGATGCAACTTGGTCCAGGCTCTGTAGACCAGCTTCTCATTCCTATGTGCTCATTTTCCTTCAGCCCTGTGTCTCACTGAAGGAGCAGCTCCTGTTGTCTTCCCCTTCTGCACAACCTTTAGCCTTTGAGGTTCCTAGCCTTGCCTCACCTGCACTCTGATTACTGCCTCCTGGCTCCATCCGGACACAACAGTTTTGGCACTAAAGTAGGCGAGGTAACAGGGAGGCACAGGCAATAAAAACGACCCAAGACTGAAACAAAGGAATGGAGCATTCACTTTCTTCTATTGGCCACGTTGGCCTGACAATAAGCACTTTGCTCTCGCTGCTGTAATACTCATTGCACTCGAGTGACCTCATGCAAAGCACTTCTGCCACCTGCACAACTCATCTCAGGTCTTACACAGCTCGCACTCAGCTATTATTTCACCCGTCTTTATCAGGCTGTAAAAACGTCTGTGAATATCATCTATGTATTTATCTGCCATCAGACACCTCAGCTGGAAGACACGGAAAGCTTAAGTTTAGGACAGGATTGCAAATTGAGTATTTCAAGCTCTTTTATGGAGGAGCCTCCTGCTCACCCTCTCCAGAAAAATGGTTGAGGGAGAATTCTAGTTTGGGAACCTACAGGTCAATGGCTCGTGGAAATAGTAAAAGCATACCTGAAAATCTGAAGAGACTCTACTCTACTCTTCTGTGCTGGACATCTTCATTCTTATCAACTTCCACAAGTAATTATTTGCCTTTTAAAGCCTCTCTATGACAACGTTCCTCTGCTCAACCCTGAAATACTATTTTTGCTTCTTACCTGACTCAAGAGAGGTAACCCTCTAATTTTGGAAAATACACAAATTTTGCACACTTTTAATTTTGTTTTGTTTTTATAAGACCTTTCTAAAGAGACTAATTGAAAGAGACTGTTCAAGAGGACTCGGAGCTGGAATATTTTACATCCTAACTCTATCAATCTCCCTCCACCTATATGGAGAAGAGAGGAGGCTGGGCACTGATCAGGGTAATTTTCTAAACTGTGAAGCACAGAAGGAAGGAGGAGTGTGAGTCAGCTGTGTGTTGTGTTTATCACTGTTCTTTTCCTTTTTAGCTGTGTTTTAAAAGTCAATTCCACTGCTCACTCCCCTGCAAGCAGCAGCAGAGGAAAACTGTTCAGTTTCACTACAGCCCACCTGTCAGTCGTTTTCATTTAATTGGAAAAGCTCTGGGATGCACCAAGGACTCCCAGCTGTCTTTCTGCTGACCTGAGGACACAGCATTTCCACTTTTCACTTTCAATCAACTTTGAGTACGTTACCACACACCTTGCTGCTTTCAGTACAGATTTCACCTTGTTGACCGAACCCAAGTGTAAGAGCAGAGCAATGACTTCACCTTGCAGTGAGCATACCTTTAAAATGAAATGCAGGTTGGTGCTCGCTGCACCAATAAAGCAAGACTCCAGTCTCTGATTTTAACAGCTAATGAATTATCAAGACGGGGGGCTGTGAGGGCACAAAGGAAGAAGTAGGAACCTGGACCAGAGGAGGTAACTTGGAAGAAATACTGGAGTATCTTTCATTCTTTCCATCCTGAAGAAGTTTTGGTAATGGATGAACAAGTCTGCAATTAACCCAGTGCCTGGGTTTTCTCAAAAAGAACTATGCAGCAACTGACAAAAAATGATCAGCAAGAGAGAGACAGATGAAATACACGTACGAACGAAGAATAATAATGATGGAGCTTAATTACCTGCAAAAGCACAACTGCATTAAAAAGAAAACCAATAACATAACTTCGTATTTTAGGCTTAAGTCGTATTCTTGCAATTAAATATTCATTTACCTTTCCATGTTCTTTCCTCATGTGGGAGATGTAAACGTCTCTCTGAGTGAAGAACCTATCGCAATCCCAACACGTCCAGCCACGACTGCTGACCTTTTTAGGCTCTCCTTTCTTTAAAGGAGAAGGAGCTTTCTTCTCTAATTTTTCCGTTCCATTGATGGATTTCGTGTCCTCTTTATTGTGGCTGGCTGAGTTCTGATTTGTGGGTTTCGTACTCAGAGGTAAATTTATCCCCAGGTTTGGTGGCCCTTCAACACTTTTCAAAGTTCCGTGCATTGACTACAATAAAATAAAAAGTAAGCAATTAACGCGGGTGTGTACAATTGTATTAAAATGCTGAATGCCCTCTGAATCAAAAGCGTTCATCTGCTTTGCCATACTCTTATCAGATCACATTCCTCACTTAAAAAAACAATGACCAAATGAAGGTAAAGTGTAGCGTGAGCAGACACTGGCCAACAAACAGATGCCAGTCACAGCTAAAGAGCAGTTCACCAAAAAGTGAGACTGCGAAGGTTTAGCTGCTGCTGAGCAAGGAGAAAAAAGGGCTCAGTGAATGCATTAAGTTATATTCGGTCTCTTGCTTTACTTACCTAGTGTAGCTAATTAAAATCCTCATTTCAAACTATGTGTCTAAGTAGAGATTTGCAAGAAGGAGGGGTTTTTACTGACAAGTTTCGTTTTAGAGCACTGGCAAATAAGACAAGAAAAGGCAACTCTGGAAAGATCAGGCAGTGATGTTTATTATGATACGTTATTATTTTATGTTAAGCCTGTGCTAACTCTGTCTCACTGCATGCTCAGGGCTACACACTGCTAACAGTCCTTGGAACCGATGGTGTGCAGGGCTGGAGGGGACAGCTAAGAAGCTGCTCAGCACCTTGCAGCTCTCATGAAGTGACCCTCCCTTCCAGATTCTAGAATCTAGGATTCCATAACTCATTTGTAAGACGGGAAGAACTCTTTCACTTCCCCTCTCCCAGTCTCTGGAGCCAGTGCCACATGGCAGCGCCATCCCTGGGCCTGCAAAGAAGACAAACCCCTCGAGGATCAGCTCTGTGCCTGGGTTTCAGACAGGGACGTGGACACAACAGGAGGCAGTCAGCAGTGTTCTGGGCCAAGACACATGACTGCAACCTAGAATGAATGTATTGCTGAGCAGGTGCCCATTAGCAAGGGCTCCTTCCCATCCCCTTTACATTTCCATTGCCCTTTACAGGGCAGCACTCTCATCCCCTCACATACTCATCTGCATTGTAACTCCTTTGGATGATGTGTCTGGCTAACCCTAAACAGGGAGGCAACTTCAGAAACAAAAAGCAACTAACACGATCTGGGTTCTGAGACTGTAAGAATGCCCATCTGCTCCTCCAGGATCTGCTCCTCCTCAGCTTCAAGTACTGAGCTCTTTTGTAAATAATGTGGCCCTTGGGACTGCTTGCTGGTTCAACTGCAAATGTCAACCTGACCTGCAGAACATATTCTTTTACTGAGTCGTTGCTTGGAAAAGAAAGCCAGCACTTTTAAAACCTGAAACATTATTAAAAAGCCAAGTGCACTGAACTGACTGACAGGCGCTGAGAGCAAAAGCAAACTGTGCAGTGAAGAGGTTGCCTGGACTACCCTATTAATTGAGGACATAGAGGATGAGCACGGGGTGGGCAGGGGTGTCCTGCAGCTTCAGGATTTTTGTAATTGAATATTCATTTAACTTCACTCAACAGAAGACTTATCTGGAAATTCCACGCCAGCACGTAAGACGTCCGTGCTCAATTTTCTCAATACCTGAAAGTTTAACTTCCTAATTAAAACAAACAAACAAACAAAACCAACAAAAGCACTAATGTATAGCATTGAGTCACAGTGGTTTCTGTGATTATCATCAACAGAACTGAGCCTGTTACACCTCCAGTCCACACCTCTGCTCCCTGCTCTCACCAGCTGCTAAACATTTTCCTCCTGTGAGCCACCAGAGGAAAACAAGATACACTTTTTGTCAACAAGACACATTCTCATCAACAGGAATAATTCTAGATTTGTTGGTGGCTTTTTTTGGTAGTTTTAAACAACCACCCTCAGAGCCTCTTTCTGTCCTTTCCCATTCTATTTTTGTGCATATGGTCTCTGCCTTGCTGGTTTATGTCTAGCCATGCCAAACCCAGCTGGGCTGAGCTCTGCCCCCGTCCAGCAGCCTTCCCCTCTCTTGTGTTCTTTTTTGCTTTTATCTGTACACTTTCTTTTCTTCTTAGTTTCCTCCTTAAGTCCCATTTACCCTTCGTGGCTGCTGTTCCTACTGCTATACACACCTCCTAAACGTGAAAGCATGAGCAACTCTGAATAAAAGCAGTAATACTGTCACTGAATGCCTACGTTCTAATGTTTCAGACTCGTTCTCAAAAAGCTCTGGATCATTTATAGTGAAATGTGTTCATCAGTACAAACTCTGGCATGGAAAACTACAGCCAGAAAAATTATAAGCACCCAAATCCAAAGGAAAAGAGCAACTCTACAGTAAGGTGCTGAGCAGCCCCAGCCCATAGGGATAGCTCCTGGCTCTAACTATGGTCAGATCCTGCCCTAGCACAGTGGTTTAGAGGGATGTATGTGCAGATGTGATGGTACTTTGCTGGCATAGGTCGAAGGCGATTCTTACAGTAAACACAAACTGGTTCAGAGTCAAAGAAAACACACTGCCAGTGTGTGTCTGAACCTTGGTCAGCCCTTCCCTGTCTCCAACTCAGGTTTAAAACTGGCTTTAAGGACAACTTTCGCTCCAAGACTTCTGATCTTGTTTTCTTCACAACGTCAGTGATTTCTGGGGATTAAAGGTAACATACTTGAGGCTAAAACACAAAGTGATCTTCAGTAGACAAGAAAGATGTTTTACTTTTCACTACTACCAATTTTACTATTTAAACAGCAAAATTTCAGCAGTTAACCAGGCACCAGATCCTGCTAATAAGTTCTAAGAAATTCCAGCACAGCCAGTAGCGTATTTAAAATCTACAGCTAACGGGTCAGAGCCAGGGGGCTGCTGGTTCTCTGCAACACGATTCGAAGGATGACAGTAAATCTTCTCCAGTAAATTCATTCATGCAGTTATAGGGATACTGATGAAAAAAATCCACTTCAGGTTTCTTTTCTTTGCCTGAAAGTGTTCACGTGTGTCTGTGAGCGCACACACATTCTGCATCTATTCAAGAAACACACCACCAGCAAGTTCTGAGCATCACAGACTTGATTTGGTCACGTACTCAGCATTCTTAGCTCCTAGCCACTGGAGTAATTCTTCAGTGCTTTAAATAAGGCTCAGGAGTTGCTAGGATTGGACCAGCTTACCTCAATGACCCCACAACGATTTTGATGAGGTACTGAATGCAACATTCCTGCTACATCCAAATCAACATCCGTACTGCAAAGCTCAGTAAGTGGTTACAGTGCAGCTGCTGAAGGTTAGACAAAATACCATTTTAGCATTGGTGGCTGTTACTCACAGATTGCTCTCTTGGAACCACTAACATTTCTTCCAGCAGCCTTCTTGGAATTGCGAGCCTTTCAACAGTATTTTCCCAAACGATACACTGCACGACAAACAGTATCTAAGAATAAAACAAGAGATGCCTACACACCTTGATATGATCCATCATAAGCTGTTTCTGTGCATACAGAAGAGAACAGTCTGGACACTTGAAAACAGACACCTTCTGGTTTTCAATGTGCTGATCAAAGTGGCGATAGAGCAAAGGTTGTAGAGTAAACACAGTGTCACACATAGAGCATTTATATATTATTCTAAAAACAGAAGTACAATAAACAGTGTCAGTCATGGTGATGATCTAGCCACAGGAATCATAACGTTAACTTTTTTCTCAGCAGAGACAAGATCTGACACGTGTAAGCAATCATTTCACACTGCCTGAACAAAAGTAAATTGCAACTAATTCAAAACAACCTCCAGAACCCAAAAGAAAGCAGCAGGAGAAAAGGCAGAAAAACAGAAAGAAAAAAAAAAAAAAGCACAAAAAAACTATTAAGCCAGAAAACAACAGCATGTGCCAGTTACATACGTAACATTGACTTCTGCTTATGATACTCTGAAAGTCAAACATCTTCAGTTCCTGAAGTCATGCAATAACTGAAGGACAAAGAATATACCTCGTTCAGGTTGCAAAAGCAATTTGTTTTCAGGGAGTCCCTGATACGACCATAACCAATAATGCATTCTGAGATAAATGTATTTTTACCAACGTGTATGGCTTTGAGACTCCTGTGTGCCAGGTCTGGAACCTGTTAATGCTCTGACACAGGAACCTCCCTGGGTGACAGTTCCCTGCTTTGCCATTACAAGCCATTACGAACCCATCTATAAATGCAATGCACAGACACCACCAAAACTGCAACTTCCTCTCTCAAGGCGTATCCATTTTTGGTTTTGCAAATGAATGAAAGAAAAGTAACACAGAAACTTGCTACAGGTAAAGACAGAAAGGTAATCCACTGGCCATCCGTCGTGGCACGCCTGAGAAACTGCAGATAAAACAAGGGAAAGCCAGGAGCAGGAGCTTAGTGCAAGGATGGCTGCAGCCTTCCCAGCCCCACCAGCCTGACACTGATCTCTGTCCTGGACAGTGACTTTCCATTAAAAAAACACCAAACCTTGTTAGCACACTACATTTTCTCGTTACCCACATAAATTACCCAAACTCCTTCCCATTTCCCTCCAAGCAGCTTTCTCCAACAGCACGCTGTCTGAAAGAGCTCTAAAGACCATTCTGCACTGTGCTCTGAGGTGACAAGGACAAGGACATGAAGTCCCACCCGTTCAGTGACTCCGGATATTGGAAACAATGAAAAACATTACAGTTATTTACATGAACCTGTGAAAAAATTATTTCTGCGCTCTCTCTTCCTTGTGGCCACGTTTTTCTCTCTCTGCTTCTCCCATGTGCTATGAGATCTGCTATTTGCACTGCATCCCCTCTGTACTGCACTGCTTTCTGCAGCAGAGAGCTGCGCTGCTGGGCACAAATGCTCCTCAAGCATCATTCTGGAACCGTATTGCAGTTTGCCACATTACTGCTGATGTCTACTCCTCAAAATCCTGATTGTTTAAATAAGTCCTGTAGGAAGCCAGAAATAGGGAATGCTCCTTGATGGTAAGAGGTAGGGAGAAAAACAGACTTCTAAAATGCTGTTTCACCTCACACATCTCCTATCCATACAGACCCCACATATCCTACTGACAGTTTCAACTGAGATCCCAAGAGACCACTCCTGAGAAGCAGACTGATCACTGCCCAGCAGATCAGCTGCCATGGATGCAGGAGGAAAACCCTGCCCAGGCACAGTGCTATTGCAACCACAGCACAGTGCAGGATGCACTGCTGGAGCTCTAAAAGACAAAGCACTCACTGTGCAGTGGATCCCCTCCCCAGGCTGCTGTACACAGCTGCCGAGCATCCATGCACGCTCTACCCCAGCACAGCAGCTCAAGGTAACTGGAGGCAGTGCTTTTACTGCTAGCAGGGGAGTACTGCAGTTGTGTAGCAAATCTTCTGGTGAACACGCACAGAGCTGGTACCAACTGCACACATTTCCTAAGTCTGGGATGTCAGACACTTTCCTTCTGTCCCTTAGGAGCTGTCTCTTACAGTGCTGTCTGCATCTCTGCCAGCAGTGTCAGAGCTGACTGCTCACCAGCCTGCAAACACCAGGGGCAACTGAGCTGCTGCTGCACAGCCCTGAATGACCGCTGCCTTGAGCCACACAGCATGCACTGACACGGCTGCTGCAAACAGCAGAACGTCCATCTGATAAACAATCTGACATGCCTGTCAACCTGCCCCTTTCCCTCGCTAAAAAAAACAGTACCTGTGGGACCTGTACTGCACTTTGTACCAGGAGTGCAGGATATATTCATGATCTGGCTTCATAAGCAAGAGTTCTTTCAGTATTCAGAAAGAGATCAGCCATGGAGAACACAGTCTACTGAAAAAATAAAACCACGTGTAACCTTTGGCAGCACATAAAAGCATCTCAGGGGCTACGAGAGAGCTGTCAGGGCTGAAAGCTGAAAGCCATTCTGTGCTTTGTATTAAATGCTCTATATTAAAATTTCAACCATTTGAGAATCACTGCAGATGGACTTTTTTTGTTTTAATAAATATGGCATATTCATCAAACGTGGATGTATTTCTTCTTATATAGCACTCAACACTACAGATGAATGGGAATTTGTGCAAGGAATGTTTGATGTCACTTGGCCAAGAGCTATCCTCAGGAGCCAGTTAACTTAATAGCTCCCCTTTTCAACTGACAATGAGCAACACAAATACTTTTAGTTAATCCTGAGGAAAACCACAGGTTGCAGTAGGCAAGACAAGACCTTATTAAGGTCAGGCAGCAATCAACATGGGCATCCTGAGCCCAGAGGTGACACTGCACTCCCACAGACGCCTACGATGATGGAGCATGGAACTCCAGACACTGCAGGGACTGGGAAAGCCCGACAGCACCACGATAAAATTGGCTGATTTCACAGCAACACCACTTTCACATGGAAAGGAAACTTAATTCAAAATACTTAATTCACCAGATTTACGAGAAGCAGCTCAAAAGGTCTGAGCACAGGTCAGAAAATCTTCTGTACTTTTCACCCGGGGAATATCTCACTCTGCTGGGGATCTCAGCCCTTTCGTGCTCTCTAATCTGGAAATCAAGAGAACCCCAAACAAGTTTTAGGTTAAGTGCTGGTATTTCAGAGCCTCTCCCTGAAGATATTCCCTCGAGTTAAAACAAGGTGTCACTTGCCACTGGTGCAACTGTCTTAATTTAGTGCCAGATGCAGAAATTTTGCGCTCTTTTGCCAAATAAATAAAAACACCCCCTTCTCATAGGCTAGGAGGAAAAGGAGAATTCCTGTGAAATCCAATTATTACAATGCACAAGGCACTGTTTCTCCCACCTGCTTTCTATCTTCCTGAGCCTGCTGTTTGTGACAAGGTTCTGCAGTGCTCTCAGTGAGCTCTACGTCCCTCAGAGAAACAGGATGGAGTTACACAGCGGGGCATTCACTCTCAGCACAGCACTCATACCAGCAGAAGAGGCAGGCAGAAGACGGGCTGTGACTGCAAGCACGGAGCTGAGGTCAGTACAGCACAGAGTCTGAATTTCAGGCATGCTGCACCTGCAGCTCCCACCAACTGAAGATGCAACATCTGTACAACTGAGATCCGATTCTCACTTCCTAATTATGCCCCTGGCTGCCTTCAGTAAAGCACTCACTGATGCAATGTGCAACCTTCCCAGCTGCAGAACGGAAAGAGTTCAGCCTTAATGCAGAAAAGAAAGCTCACGTGTCACAAAAAGCTTACACAGTACAGCTCTAGGCACGTTTTTATTCCGAACTGGAGGGCAACTCTGCACAAGGCGCACAGCCAGCAGCTCTCACCTATCAGCTTGGGCTTGACAGACATGACAGCCATAGCAGAGCTAAAACTCAGTGTTTGCAGCTTGCATGAAGCACTGACAGCTTAAGGAAAGCACTGCCTGGCCAGCAGCTCTGCCTGCCCTGAGGAACCCTGCAGCTCTGCCGCCTGGAGGTAACCCCACCAGCATACACCCCAACCCCTGAGCACTGCTGGCACTGAAGGAACCAACCTTCCGAATCCACCTACAAGACTGCTGTCTGTAAGCATGATAGAAAATAATCTGAACTTTTCAACCAGATGTTGTAAAACCACTACAGAAGTGCTGATGAGCCTTAGCAGTTCTCCTTGGAATTACATTTGCTAAGCTTGTAGTAAAAACGCCTATAACCAGACTAAAAAAACCCAGCATCAGCAACGCACTAGCAGGAGTCTGAATTACTTCTGCAGTTCACAGCGGGATCACAGCATTTCTGGGTTTGAAAAGACCTCACAGCCCTCCAAGCCCTGCCATGGGCTGGCTGCCCACCAGCTCAGGCTGCCCAAGGCCCGTCCATGGCCTCGAGCACCTCCAGGGATGGGGCACCCCCCTATGGGCAGTGCTGGGGTCTCACCACTCCCTGGGTAAAGAACTTCTCTCACACCTGACCCAATTCTCCTCTTTTATTGTAATACTTTCCCTAGCGCTGCGCTTAAAGAACTGATATTGCTGCTGTGAATGGAAAGTTAACTTTTGCCAAACTCCTAGCTAAAACCTCATAAAATCATCACAAGAACACCACACATTACCAACGAATGACAAACTGTTGTACGGAACTTAACGCTGTAAGCACAAGACAGAAAGCAATTCCACAAGTTATTAAAATGCAGGCAAGTACAGTAAAAGATTAATTTTGCTTACTTTGGTTCGCCTATCTTGATACCCGGGTGTTGTGTATAGGCATGGGAATGTGTGCTGGGAGCAGATTTAAATGCCATGGGACAGATAGGACATTTGTAAAAGACTTCACAATGAGAACCTTGAATGTGAGACTTGAGTGCCGCCACATCAGAGTACACAACATTGCAATGCACGCAGCTGCAAAAAGAGTGGAGAAGAGTCAGTTCAGCCTAGCAAAAAGCAGTACTGCAAGACACCGAATCAACGCTGGTTTTCAAGCAAGTGGGAGAGGTAAGCATGTATCCATAACCAGATAAAACTACGTCATTCTGTCAATTCAGAACTATAAACAACAGAGCAGGAATCAACATAAGCAGAGATCTGCGTATCGAAAAAAGAGAAAAAAGTTTCCCAAATTTAACTCTGTAGGTCTGAGAGATGTGAATTCAGAACATTTCGTGGGATTACAACAGGACAGACAGAAGGGTGAACAGAGAAGCATCCGCTGATTGTAAAAAGAAAGCTTAAAACCTCTGCGGATCTGTAAAGCTTTTACAAAAGGCGATTCTTTTTCTTCACATGCAGTGGATTGTGCAGGGTACACCGCTACCACCAAAATGGAAAACCAGGCAGCAAAACCCGTGGACCGTTCCCCTTGTTAAGATTTGATGAAGACATAACTGTAATGATTTTCTGAACCGATAATTAAATCAACGCTTGGATTTAATTAAAAAAAAAGAGTAAATTTAAATTCAGGGCAACTGAACTGAATCTCAACAATCACAGCAACGCATCAGATTGGAATTCCGGAAGTGTTTTTCAAAAACATACTTTTGCACTGCCGAAAATTTGTGACCTTCCCGCATCTATTCTAAAATAAAACGATTAAAAAATGGGATTAAAATCAGCACATGAGCATTCCCACACACAGCGGGCCCCTTTCAGTTTCATGCACCTTGTGGACAAAGTGGTACCCAGTACGTCCAAGGGTATGCTGCAATAAACAGAGACAACACCATCCCTCAAACCACCCCATTTCTTACTGGTCAGTACTTTGCAGCTAGAGTTTTACAATTTAAACCTAGAAAACTGCCAAAACAATAATTTTTGCACCCACCAGGCAGTATGATTTTTGTGTAAACATGACCTAACTTTCCAACAGTTTTGATGACAGCCATTAAGCAGGAAATAGCAAAAAAACTGCTCTCAATACTTTTCTTTTCAAATGCCCCACCTCTAAATGCTACGAAATATCATCCTTTCCTTTGGAAGCACTCGATGCACCTTCCTAATACTACCAGTTCAGTTTGCATCCGCTTGGGCTCCAATTCCTGGGCATTTAATAAAGAGCTTTCCCACTCTGCCAGCTCTGCTCTGTCCTTCATGACCCTCTCCTTTAAGCAAGTCCCCACTGCCTGCTGCAGTGTCCTTCAGCAGTGCTGGGTCCCATCTCATCCCCCTCTGCCCCACTGTCTGCCTGTTTTTCTACAGTGATGTGAATTTGTAAACAGTCCTCAGCATCTGCTGTTGTATAGTAGAGCAGCTCCTAAGGCCCAAACCTTCCTTTCCTGGAATGCTGGGTCACCTTCATTCTCAGCATGCAAGGATGCAATTCAGCTTAAGGCTGAGATGTTCAGCTGCTCCACAGCTCCTATGGAAATGCAGGACAGGCTGTGTTTCCCCAGTGAGAGGCCCTGGCAGCAGGGAGCACAGCAAGGAAGGCATTATGCTCTCCTGGATACTGCTGCTCCTTGCCTGGACAGTTTTGGTTTGCTGTCCCCAAATAAAGAAATTCTGACTTAGTGTGACGTGAAATGTTACTGGTAAATCTTGACAAGTTCAGTTACGTTGTCACGATTCACCATGAAGGACTCTGAGATTTCCTGGTGCTGCTGGTGCAGGCCAGCAATCCCTCAAGGTGATGCCAAGAGACAGGCGAGGGGAAAGAGCAGAAGAATGAAGGAGGCAGATGTAAGAAATATGTAATAAAAAAAGACTGCTGTGCTTGGGAGACCAGAGCAAAGCAAACCAAAGAAACATGAGCTGAGAGCTGTGTCAGGGCCATGGGTTTGGACTGAGAACCGACAGCAGCTGGCCTGATGCAAGCAAAGTGCTTCCCTCCTGGGTGGAAGATGTCCCAGCAAAGGAGCTGGGTTCCACGAGGAGCAGAGGCTGCCTGCCCAGTGGGATGCTACTCGCCCTTCTGTGGTCCAACAGCACGCAATGGGGGATGCCTGAGGACTGCGGGCTGCTCCATCCCTCGCTGTGCTGCCTGCCAGCCAGCCAGCAGCCTTCCTGATTTCCCCACTGTAGCTTTCAGTAGCTTTCCCCAGCTCTCAAGGCCTTTGAAACTCAGCACTTCCACGAAACACCTCTGGTCCCTGTTCACTCTGTGAGTTGCCGTTACAGGAAAACAAAAGAACAGAAGGAAAACTGCAGAGTAACGGTGAGGAACCAGAAGAGCCAGGCTGCTGGGGTGAGAAACATCATCTGCAAGTGGTGTAAAGCGGAGTGATCTTCCCTTCCCACAGCAAATGGATTAAAAAGGACTTGACAAAGCTGCTCTAGCTATGCTACCAGGCAGGTGCAGTATGCCCGCCCACGGCCTGACAATAAATTCTGGTAGAAAATAAGAAAATGATAATTCTACCAGAAAGAACAGTCTGAAATTCAATGTTCTGGGAAAAAAAAAAATCAAGAAGCCCGTTATGAACGTGAAATTAAGAAAATACATCTGAATTTTCTAGGCCTTAGAAACTGTGAAGCCCTGAATCTGACATATTATGGCTGGATGAGATTAGCTAATATTCTGATTTAATAACATACAAGAGCGGATGCTCAAAACAAACTGTGTTTTAATGCACTATTTACTCAAAAAATTGTACTACTAATAGAATTGTTGCCACGACAACCTTAAGCCCAAGAAGCTCTATCCTACAAACACGGCTTATGAAAATGGGAAATTACTTTTGAAAGCATAAATTACATATAAATTGACAACGAAAATAATCATAATACTGACCGAAAACCAACTCTTCGAGTATAATGCAGGCAGTTCTTAGTGACATGAGTCTGGAAGTGGACAGATCTGCAGATTGCTCCACATTCAGGACACGTGTATGGAGATTTATGCTGATGAATTCTCTGGTGTGATGCAAAACTGCACTGGTTAGGAAGCAGCATCTGGCAGATATTGCATGTCTTCTAAACGATAAACCAAAACAGATGAAACAAAAGGTTGGGTTCAGCTATACACAAATTCTCGTGTCAAACACTGTAATATAAATAAAAGGTTAAATGTTACGACTGTGATGTGAGCCAGAAGAAGCAGGCAAGGTCAAAATTCAGACTGTACTGACCAACCTTGCAGGGCTGAGGTGGTCCCTCCTGGCACCACACATACTGACATTCTGGCACAACAAAGCTCCTTCATTCATCACTGAGCATAGAAGATGTATTGTAGTTTACTTACATTTAATTCAGGTGCCTCACAAGGTTACTTTACCAGTGCAAGGGGCCCCAAGCGAAGCTTGGGAAACAAATCTAATGGTTTTAACCACAGAAATTAAAAAGCAAACAAACAAACTAACAAAAAAACACAAGAAAACACAGAGAAAAAAAAAAAACAACCCACCACCAAGTACATTATCCTCATTTTCTTTGACCCCTGCTCCCAGTGAGTTCTACTGGGAATATCCTCAATGCCAATAAATGGGGTATTGTCAATCAGAAAGACTGTGGATAATTTCAGAATGCATTTCTGAGGCTAAACTCCAGCATCTGCACTGTAAAATATCAAACTATCATGCATCTAAAAGTACAGGTATTTAACAAAGTCACAAAGTCTCTGAAGGGCCACCTTTCTAAGTGCAGACTTTACTCCCTATATGACATCTTTTCTTGCATTTTGTCACACAGAAATAACTTTAAAAGATCTTCAGCAAGTGTGTAGACCATTTGCCAAGGCAGAAACACTGGAATTCTTTGCTTTGTGCCACTCGTGGGGTTAAACACAAACCATGCAGTGGAGCTGTCAGCAGGATTCATTCCTGCTCACAGCTGCTTTCCATCCCTGGAGGGCACAAGGAACAGAACATGCAGCACCACGGGTTCCACCTGCAGCAATGCACCTCTGCATCTCTAAGCAGTGCCTGACAGTCTGTATGGAGCTTAACTTTCATCACGAACACTGCTCCACTGACTCCAACAGAAATACCAGCACAAGCCTTCGCAGGCAATGATTTTAACCTCATTTCCTAAGGCCTCGCTCTGTAAAGCGTCTAATATTTCTTCAGACTTCAAATAATTTCTTGTGACCTTAAATAACTTCTTACGAATTTAAACATTCCTTATGTCTTGGGAATTATGAATTTCACCAGTGACTTTGGTAGATTTAAAAGCAAAACTAAGACTCTTACATGACATGGAGAGTTTTGAACACGGGATTTGCATATTTTAGCAGCGTTATCCATAGAGTCTTGCAGATGGATGTATTTTGCAAGATTACAGACAAAACAAGATCTCCTGAGTTGTATTAAAAAACGATTTGCTAATCTACGGATCAATAAATCTTCGAATGATCAAGAGAATCCTTCTGCTCACGTTAAAACAGTTACTTCCTGGGGCTTCACCAAGTCACACCCTCCTTCCAATTTGGGCCCTCCTTCAAATCTGTTAAAGATGGTCAGTCAGAGCACACAGCAGCAGAATCAAAGCTGCTGCTGTAGAAGGAATCACACTGTGCTACAAGCAAGTTTCGTGGAGTTCTGCCTTATTAGCATTGGCAACTTTGCTGGAACAAAAAAGTCACCTGCTCTCATTTCATCAGCAAGACAGATCCGAACTGCAATGACTAAAGCACACCTGTACCATTATTTTTTCTTCCAAATAGAACCCTGTTTAACCCTAAAGTAATTTCTTAATTGCTTTACATACTGACAATGCTACTGATATTCTAAGCACGAGCACAAGAGTGTTTTTGTACTGGAACCTGCAAACTTTTTTTTTCTTTTCGTCCAAATGCCTTTTTGAAGCTGCATACAAATGGTTGTAAATTATTTTTTAAACATTAATTTTAGGGAGACACGTTAACACGGAATATCTGGAGGTCACACGCTCTGAAGCAGCCGTGTTCTTTTGCATGGTTCACTCTAATGTGTGTCTGAACAGTCTCCATCCACAGCTCTCAAGCGTCCTGACAAAAGAAAGATGGCAAAATGCAGAACCTTGAAGCAGAACAAGTTAACCAAAGAAAATCTACTACTCTCCAAATGCAGGTTGGATATGAGCACTGCTATCAGCCTAAGGAATTAGCAGATATCCTTGCACAAAGCTTTGTCTGAGGTGGATCATCTGCAGCCATTACAGTGCTATCACTCTGATTAGAACCTCCGTGAAACAGGAGGGTTGAAACCATGCTCAAACACAAACAGACATCCACTGAAATGCCAGTGTTTGTCCTCAGTGAGCAGTGCATGGTCTGAGCCACTCACCCTTGCTTCTGACACTGCTCAGAACTGCCATGGGATGCCAACTCTGTCTTCAGCTCAGGCTCACAGGTGGCCAAAGCCAGACTAACTTTGGCTCACTGTGTGTCTGCTGCATTTACTAAGATCCAGTACCATTCCTAAAAGGCACCTTTCGTCATATAGGCATTCATAAGCAGCAGTGCAATGCTGGGCAACAAAGCAAAGTTCCTTACATAAAAGGTTCTCATAGTCCTTCCAAAACACTACAGAAAGAAACCTGGATGCTACACTATTTCACAGCCATACAGCACTCCTGAACAAGGTTATCCCAGATTCTGATTCTGCAACAAGCAGTCTGCAAGATCCATCAGCCATGGGAGTAATTCAGACCAACACAAAATGCCAGCAATGCTTTTTGCTGGGGCTGCTGGTTTGACAGTTTGAAAAGTACACGTTTTTAATTGAAACTGATTACAGTACAAGAATCTGCTGTGAAATTCTGAAATTCACTTTTGCTTACCATTTTATTCTGGGCTTAAGGTGGCATTAAATTCCAGTTCTCACTGCAACCCATACCAAAATAAAACAGTTTCTGAAAACCATCACGTGCCTGCCTTTGAAATCAAAGCTTCAGGAAAAAAAAAAAAGAGGAGTGAGAAGAAAAAAACTGTGGAGTTGGAAAACAAAGATAGACAAGAACTGTGAGTTCTTGAAGACAAATGAGCAACACAGCATCCACCAGAACAACACGCTCACAGCTGAAGATAAGAGGAGCATTAACATGACTTAGACCAGGCTTGCTGCCTTGCTGCCTCAGTAAGCTGGTGAGGGCTTCACTCAGCCATCACTGAGTGGCCTCATTCCTTTCAACAGGATTACTAACAGGAGTGAGGGATTACAGAAAGAGAACGTTGCAGGGAAGATTTTTTAACTGCAAAGGATGTTTTACTGTTTTTTAATTCAGAACTGAGCATTTCTACCTTTGTAACAAGAGATGAAACAGAAGCAACAGCTCCTTCCTACTTAGACTCATGTTAACACACAAAACTGTGTGCAATTTCCATTTCAAGAGCAGGTGGGCACTAAGAACTCATCAATGGGCTGCAAAATCCAATTATTTTTATCTTCCTTCCTCCCCAGGTAAAAATACTTCATCTAGCTTTCCTGTTTTCCTGCCCCAAAATAATCACTGTTTCACAACAAAAACTCAGTTGCCAAGCATGTAGAGAAATGAGGACATTTCTTTTTCAAGCTTTTAGAGGGGTAACATTTTTTATAATAAACCTATACAAAGACTTTCTTTAGCAAACACTGCCCTTGCAGAGATGCATGTGCTAGCTGATGAGGGGATGAAAAGGCAAGAAAGCAGGAGGCACTGCTCTCATTAAAGCAACCCTTCAGCTGGATGGCTTCCACGATGCATCTGTACAGCTGCACCACACAGCTCGCAACAAGACACAGCTTAGAAAACGTAATGAAAACTGCTGATCGATGTACCAAAAGGACTAAGAAAAATATTTAATTCGTTTTTTTAAGAAGATAGTTTGACAAACTCTCAGAACTACGTTTATTCACAGCGTTCTTTGAAAATGGAATGACAAGAAAAGTGCTTTTTTTTTCTTCTGAGATCTGGAAATGCACGTCCTACCACGCAGTAATTAAGGCCTCATTCATACCTCAGACCTCGTAAGACAGTGAGTTTCCAGCAGGAGATACCAACTGGTGGGCAGTTCTATCTCCTGTACCTCCATGAGCTTCCTCTGATCCTCTGCAGCAATGGGGCAAAAAAAAAACCACTGGGAAGAGGCAGCAGGAAAGGCCAAAGGTGTTTCTACAAAAATGCATCCCTGTACCAAAACAGGCCCCACAGAAAGTACAGAACTGTTTATTATTCAAACTTTGCTGCTCTTTTTTCCATTCTGTTCTTGCCTCGTCCTCCCAACCTATTTCCCCTGGATTTGTCAGTCTCATACATTCGGTTTGTGAAGCTTACAGACTGCCTTAATTCCTAGTTTTCACGGTGCCACGCGCTGCAGGTGCGTGTTTGTCAAGGTCTACTGGATCTTACCACAAAACAGATGAAACTGAAGGACTTATCATGGAAAATAAGATCAACATGCATGGGCAGAAGAGCTACCTTCCTAACTTAAGGACTCAAACCCCTATCCTGCACGCTGCTGTGAGATTCCAAGAACATTCCTGGCTCGATTGGTCTGAGCAGGGAACAGAGCCTTTCAGGTCCTTGCCAACGTGCAGCAACAAGCTGCTGCATCAAGATTAACTGAATGCTTTGAAATAAACCAGAATTCCTTTTAACTGGCACACCATCATTTAATTAACGATGGGAATTCTTACAGGGTTATAAAATACACTGCACGCTGACCCACGCTTTTATTGAATGATGTGCTTCCTTCAGATCAGACCACATATAAACCATTTTGAAATTCTTTGCTAATGTAAGTTTAACTCAGTAGTAAGAGAAAGTGGAAGCCAAAAGAAGTGAATAAATGGCCACGCAGCAAGAAATGCATGCTAGTGAACACCACTTTCTGGTTAAAAAAGACCTGAAGACACCAGCACGCATATCCTTCCAGCAGAATCAATGTGCCATTTATTAGTTGTTTGCCCCTGTAGGTAACAGGAATGCCAAACTCACTTCTAGAGCTATGTGAAAATAATAAAAACCAAAGACAAATCAGGAATGAATCACTTAAAAATTACTACTCAGATTAAATAGGTGTGCTGCTAATGAGGGTGCCAATTAAGTGGATTCCACAGGACAATCTCATTTCAAAGCACAGCAATAATCATTAAAAGAATCTTAGAGACCATTAAGCACTCAGCTGCAACAAAGCTTATGCTAAATTTTAGTGAAAATACACACTGGATTAGACTTCAGGGCCTAAAAAAACTCTAAGATAAACTCTTAGTTCAAAATGTTGACATTCACTATAAAAGTGCTTGCAAGTTTTCTGTTTTAGTTTATGCTTTTAATCACGGAGGTTGAGACCGTTAACATCTAAACGAAAGAAAAACATCTCCAAAGCCTCCTAGGCTTATAGGCGAAACATTGGAATTTAAACATATGATACTCTACTTGTCCACTTGTGTCTGCAGCCTGCTGGAAATGTGTGGCAAGAGCTGTCTCATCTTGGAAAACTTCACTGCACTCCAAACACTTTAGACCATGCCTACAGAGTTTGGATGGATCTTCGTCTAGCGGCATGGCTGGGACGATGGGGGTACTTGCTGGGGCTGATATGACTGTTCCCGTTATGCCAGACTGTATCTTTGTTACAGTGTGTGAGCCAGCTCCCACTGGGCTTTGAAGCATGGGTGCAGCAGTATTGCTCGAAGGAGATGCTATCATTTGATCTGCTGGGACTGGTTTCAAAATCAGGTGCGAACACTGCATTACAACTCCTTTTTCCTTGTGTCCACGAGCATGGGAAAGAAGACTGCATTTGTTGTAGAAAACTAAGTTCTTTGTGCAATGATTACACGTCACTTCAATTCGCACGCTCCTCCTGTCGTAATGCTGGGTCAGACTCTTCTCAAGAGCAAAGGAGTCCCCGCACTCCAAACACTTGTAACCTCGTGTGGGCAACGTTATTCCAGCGCTGGCAGGGGGACTGAGGTTGGGGATGTAAACCGGGACAGGGTTGACACTGCTCAGCACCTTGTTGAACGCTTCCACTACAGAACTCTGTAGAGATGACACCACTTGGACTCGAGACACCTTCTTAGAAGGCTGTGAGGCTGCTGCAGAAATTATTGCCTGCTTTATTTGCTGCTGAGGTTTCGTTAGCACTTGTCGGAGCTCAGAGGTGGTCTGAGCACCCTGAGGCAGGAGGTTAAGGTTGGCAAGATGGACTGTCTTTGGCACAAGTTTAGCACTCGCAAGGCTTGATGCTGGCACCACAACAGTCTGCTGCTGTATGGCATTGGCAGCTTTTATAATGGCGCTACTGGCACTCTGCACAGAAGCAGCAGATATTACAGTGGCTTTCACGGTAGTATTGTTAGCAAGCTTCAAATTAATAACTTGTGAACCTGCTGTTTTCACTGCTGAAACTGGGAGGAAGGCAGTAGCCACAGGTTTGATAGTGACCTGCTTTGGTGCGAGTTCTGCAGATGCAACTGCATTGGTAACGACCGCGGACTGGAGAGGAGCTCTAGGAGGAGAGGAAAGAACAGCAGCAGAAGTTGGTGAGGACAGGAGGGATGTCATGGAAGTTACCATAGAAGCAGTCTGCTCTGTTTTTTTACTCGAGTCCAAATCAACTTCTGGCAACACTCGAGTAACAGTTCTCTTGATCTCCCCGGAGGAAGTCTTGATGGTTTTTATGCGAACCTTAGGAATTGCTGGTGTGGACCCTGCAGGAGAAGATGGAGACCCTTTGCTACTGTTTTCACTTGATACGCTTCTGGGACTATCAGGCGGTTTAAGAGATGGCTTTTTAGCACCATCAATAAGACTCTGAGGCTCAGGTGATTTCTCAGTAGTCCGGGGACTTTCACTCATATCTTTTGGTAAAGGAGAAGACTCCCCAGAATTGGATTGTAAATCCTTACTGCTATCTGTAGCTGCCTTTTTAGCACTCAGTGCTGCAATCGCAGCAATGCACGAAGAAAGCTTTGCTGATGACTTTGCTTTGGACTGCGAAATGCTGGCAAAATTTGTTTCACTTTTTTCAGCACTCAGTTTTCCATCAAGTACTCTGTTGTCAAGAAGCTTCTCAGAACTGTCTTTTAGCAGTTTGTCCTCTGCTTTGCGAGCTTTGAAAGGCTCATAAATACTTAAATTCACAGAGTTTGTCTCTGTCTCCCGCTTAGAAACTTTATTTTTATCTATACTGCTTGACACTGAGATACTAGATTTAATCAAATTCTCTCCCCCAAGTGCCTTTAGTTTGTCATATTCCTGCTGAGATACAGAACCTGTCAAGATATTTGTTCTGAAACTTGCACGCATCTCTTCTTTGTCTGGAGGGTCATCTACCTCAATTTTTTCATCATCATCAAATTCTTCAGCACTTGAAATTGGACTGAACTGGTTAAAAGCCGAATCCTTCAGTGTTGTCTCAGAAGCTGACCCATCGTCTTTGAATGGCTTCCCTTCGTCTTTACTGTAGCTATCAAGAGCTGAGGATGTTAGGAAGCCGTTATGCAAGCCATTGCCTGTGGAATGGTGGCCATCCTTGTCTACTCCTTCAGAAGAATCAATAGTACGCACGTTTTTCACAATGACGCTCACACCAACATCAGACGATGAGGGCGTATGAGAATCTTCATCTGTGTGTGCATTTTGTTTTATCTGGCTTTCGTGGTCATCGTGTCCAGATTCAATAGCTGCTTTTGGGTCAACCATGTCTGGGATGTCAAAGGCTGCAAGAAGATCGTCAAAGTCTGGGGTCTTCATATCCCCCATGGTCATCTATTTGATTGGAGGCAAATCTGCAAAACAAGCAGAAAGTCCTCATCTCTCAGTACTTTAATCTCTGACAGCATGCTCTAACACAGAAAGCACACATTCTCACATGCCATGCAAAAAAGGTGCTGTTTCACTTCTCAAGTGGTATTTTCAGAAATTACATATTAAAAACAGTACCCCAGTGCAGTGTACAATGTACAGCTGAATTACAGCGCCAGGAGTTCACGTTACAATGCCATCAAGTTCATACACTGCACACTAGTGATTTCATTCTAGGGACATACCTTCTCTTCAAGTGACTTTATTCCTGACTGTTCTTCCTGCACTTTCTGCTACCCTGTCCCACCCATGCCATGAACACAGCAAGATACTGCTTTCAGAAAAATCATGAGTTATTTGAATATCCCCTTAAGTCTAGATCTTCCTTGGTATTTGCACTATCAACCTGATGAGCATTCTCGAAGACAGCAGAGCAAATGTGTTTCTACTAGCAGTTTAAGAGCACTGCATTGTTTTCTGTGCATTAAACCACTTCATCTGAGTTATGGAATATTTGTTCCCCAATGCCCACAAGCTGTTTTTTCAGCAGCTCCAACAAAGGACTTACTGTATTTATACTTATTCTACGGGTGTCTCACCTACTTCAAAGACCTGGCATTCTACAACCTCCAATGCGATTTACTGCAGTCATTCACCATTTTCCCCACTGTGGGTATCCTACTGCATAACCTGAATGTCCCTTGATGCAACCTGAATGAACTACATGTGGCTCTATACTCACCTAACCACTCTGCAAAAGCTCTCTACGCTAATTCCATTCTCTCTCTTCAGTTTTCTTTCTAAGCTGAACAACACCAGATCTTTAGTTTTATTTCTTTCCCTCACAGATAATTTCCAGATCCCATTCTTCCCATTCACTGCTAACCTCTAATACTGTTTTTTTTTTCTTCTTTTTCCAAAATGCAGAAGATAACTCAGAACTGAAACCTTATAAACGCTGAGTAAAAAGGAAAAGCAATAGTTTTGAGTATACTTTCACATTGTAAATCCCACTATGGTACTTGCTTTTCCACACACTTCAAGAATATGCAAAGTTGTGCAAAATGAATCACTTGTACAGATCTAAGAAATCACTTATGGAAAGCACAAACAATTTCCCATTTTCTTCTAGAACAGTGCACAGGTATAATCTGTGCTGTTATGGCAGAGCTGATTTTGGCTGCTCAGTACTGACTGTGCAAAATTCAACATTCAATCTGAAATGGTATTCAACCAAACCAGTGTTACTGTCAGAGAGCGCCCAGTTAGGAAGCATCCTACCTGCCCTCCTGCCTTAGTATCAGCACTGAAAGGCAGAAGAACATCCTTTCAATACAGCTCAATATGCTGCCTGCAGTACTGATTAGCACAGGCCATCAAGGAGCCACTGGGTGATTGAACAACAGCACTGCCTCCAAGTTTTCAACTTAGCTCAGCTATATGACAAGTTACTACATTATACCCCATGGCAAATGGTCTGTTGGAACAGAATGGCCAGGGTTGGAAGGGACCTCAAGAATCACGAATCTCCAACCCCCTGCCACACGCAGGGCCACCAACCTCCACATTTCACAGCAGCCCAGGCTGCCCAGGGCCCCATCCAACCTGGCCTTGAACACCTCCAGGGATGGACGGGGCATCACAGCCTCTCTGGGCAGCTGTTGCAGCACCTCACCACTCTCATAGCAAAGAACTTCCCCTGACATCCAGCCTCAATCTTCCCTCCCTCAACTTCAAACCATTTCCCCTTGTCCTGCCGTTATCTACCCTTTCAAATTGTTGACTCCCCTCCTGTTTGTAGGCTCCGTTTAGGTACTGAAAGGCTGCCATGAGGTCACCCCACAGCCTTCTTTTCTCCATGCTGAACAAGCCCAGCTCCCTCAGCCTGTCCTCGTAGGGGAGGTGCTCCAGTCCCCTGATCATCTCTGTGGCTCCTCTGGACCCTCTCCAATGCTCCCTGTCTTTCTTGTGCTGGAGGCTCCAGACCTGGACACAGCACTGCAGATGGGGCCTCACAGGAGCAGAGCAGAGGGGGACAATCACCTCCCTGTCCCTGCTGGCCACCCCTCTGCTGATGGAGCCCAGGATGCCATTTGGTTTCCATGCTGAAACACACCTGCCAACAGAAATGCATCCTACAAGTTCAGCACATCATCTCTTCCTCCTCATGGTTTATCTTGAGATATTTTATAGAGAGAAACTACCTGCTGGCTGCCGAATTCAGCTGCAACAAGATCAAGAACCACTAATCACAAGGCAGATGCTACGGTTAAAAGCACATTTTTATGGCTATCGTTATCAAGATGGACAGTACTCTGTTCTGCAGTCAAATGTGGCTTATTTGGAGAGCATAATTTCTCCACATGAGAAAAACCTGTGAAATTTATCTACTCATCAGTGCTGGCCAACTGGAAGCTATTACAGACTCTGAGAAAGGCAATCAGGGAAAATTTGTCAAGGGAAAGAACACCGCAATCCACGCTGCCACTTCATTTGCTGCTTTAAATAAATATAGCATCATTTACATGGTCTGTTTAATGGTTATGCTGCCTTGCTAAGTTCTTTTAATTACACCAAATTCTATGGAGATTAACTCATTATTTGATTTTTAGGAAATATGACTATAGTATTGCAATTAATTAATTCACCTTCCTTAATTAACTCAGAATTTCTTTCTTCCTGGAAATAGAGCTCATTATTAAGATTTCACTACAATTTGTAAACCATACAGTTATAAACTGTATTTATCAGACGTAAGATTGCTTCATTACGCTGGTAATCCAGGCATTATTATTTAATTTTAAAATTTAACCCTCCATCTATTTGACAGCAAGTTTCTGGCCCTCATCCATTTAAAGCCGGTAACTGGGATAAAACCAACAGACAGATCTGAGGAAAGCAGTCAGCACAGCTCAGCCCTCGTCCAGCATCACCAAAAGCTAACTCACAGCATTCAGTGCACAACGCACCAGCAGCCACCTTCCTCTACCAAAGATTTTGGTGATCATATTTATCCACTGTGCTGGAGCCTGGATTTCAGTCCAGCCTCTGCCCAGAGGATTTCAGAGTCATGTGAGAGGCATGCAATGACAAAGGCAGCCACCTAGTAACTACAGCATGTCACCAGCACAATGAGAGACAGTCAGTACGGCTGTGGTGTAGACATGACTGGATTTTTAATTCACTTCTGGACCTGTATTAACAAGAAAAGAAAACTACTGCAGGAAATTCGAAGGGTATGAAATGAGAACTGACAGAAACCAAAAGAAAGGCGGCCCAGAGTTCAGCAATGCAGACAAGAGCAGAAGGCCACTGAGAACCACCAGACTGACTTCTATCCCTTGTCTCCAACTGGATGCATAACTTGTGCACAGATGAAGCACAAATTAAGAAAACACACTGAATGCACCGTCATGAACCTAATCTGAAATACAGATGTCTAAAGTGTTCCTACATCTGCTCCTGCTATGTTTTACTTACCATGCAAACCATCAGAGCTGTGTTAACAACACACACAGAGGAGCAATGCTGAGCTAAAGCTGATACCTAGACTGATTAAAAAAAGACAGTGGTATTTATGTAATGTTTCACTTTGTCTGAGTCACGACTTTAATGCTCTGGTTACAATTTCCTCGGTTGCAAGGTGTTGATCTTTTTGTTGTTTACAAACAGTAAGAATCACATACACACACAATATTAACATTACAAAGAAAGTCCTTGTAAGAACTGCATGGAAAAGGTTCTTGAGTCCAAAGGCAGAACACACAAACAAAGCCTCAACTGACAGTTTTTCATGGTTCAATACACCGCAGCGCTCTCTCACCATGCATCCATCCATGGATGGCTTCTCTGCTAAACACGCTGGTGCAAAACCTCCTCCAATCACATATGCTGCAGTCATTAACATTTAGCAGCAGCAATGCGAAGTAAAGGCAGCTGTACTGAATCAGGTTATCTTTAAGAGCAGAACTACATAGCAGAGAAGAGACACGTTTGTTCTTTACTAAGATACTTCCTTAGGGTTAATTCCAAAATGGAAAAGTATCCCAGAAGAATGCAGAGGTCTTCAGCTTTAAGCTGAGACCTTAAACATATCCAAAGAGCACAGTGCCCGAAGCTGCAGGTATCCCCCAGGTACACACAGATCAACTCCTGTGCTCTCCCAGAGTATGAGAACAGAGTGCTTTCTTTTACATGGGGCACGTGAACTGCTGCTGCCTTCACAGAGAACCTCTCCCATTCTGCAAGCCTCTACAGCAATCCAAATCAAACAAGAAAGGAGAAAACACCTGGTGAGTCTGGTGAGCTGTAACCTTCACATTTTATTTCTCTCTAACTTGCTATTCTGGACTATCGGTGTAACTTCCAGTGTATTAAGCTAGTTTTCATCACAACTGTCAGGGTTCCAAAGCCACACTGCTCCCTTTTTTACCCAAACACCTTTCCCCAGCCTTTTCTCTTACAGACAAAACTCTGCCTTCTACCCAAGACTGAAACCAACCGAGGCCCTGGCTGCCGCACAAGTTGCTGACCTGCTCCTGCTGTGCCCAACACGAAGCCTGACAGCGCTGCAAACAGAACGCGAGGCAAGGTCCTGACTGCCTTGGGAACTGTGATTTTCCAGGAACTGGAATTTCTTTGAGAACTGCTTTCTCTGAGAAGTGCTGAGAGTAAAACCCAACATGGCTAAGAGATACACAAGCCAGTTAAAAAAAACAACAAATCCCATCGGGAGGCTGCCATCAAAATTATCAGTTTTAGTGGTAATGACTTTCAAGTGCTCCTCACAAATGCAGCTCTCCAGAATTAAACAAAGAAACGGTCCAAAATGTGTGCAACCAAGCATTCCTCAGACCTGACAAACAAAAGACATTGCAATTAACAACTTGCAGGACCCCCACCTCCCCAAACTCCGCTGTCTGGAACACACACTTTTTCATTTTTAATTTCTAAGTAATAGAACAGCAAAATTCACTTCAAAACA